CTCTTTGTTATTTCTTGTTTGTTCAAAGTGTATTCAATACACAACATGAGCGTTGTCTATTCACACAACGCTCATTTTACAATTTTCAACTTTGTCCAATATAACACTTTTTTGTGTTTTCATTATCGATGATTTCTCGATCCCGTTTTTGAATATTTTTTATCGGATGTCTTTGTTCTTTGAGTATTGATTTGGCTAGTCGTAAATTATAATGGTTGTTATTGTAATTTAAGATTTCAACATTGTGGTCCAAGATTTGTCTAGTAATTTTAGTTTTGTTTTCTTTTACATGTGATTCTTTATAGCTTTAGTTTTTACGGGCATCTTGAGTTTTCTCGATAACTTGGTCTTCGTCATACCAATATATTCGGAATTATAATGCCCACACTCACTAATATTCCATTCAAACAAATATATTAGATGTCTATAATGATGATGTTGACTTATAAAGCGCCCTGGCAAGCGACACACACACACACACACACACACACATATATATATATATATATTGGTAACAGACTGTAGTTAACGCAACATTTCAAAAAATCAACACTACTTTCAACATTGTTCAACTTTTTTATATTTCTTTTTAATTTATTAATTTCAGAGAAATTAGACATTTTATTGTTTTTTAAAAAATTTTTATTAAATAAATTTGCAAATAGCTATTTCGAGTTATAAATAACTCATCTTCAGTGCATTATATATAAGGTATGTAAGATATTTGATATAAAGGAACAAGTAATTATTAATTTATATAAATTATTTAATTAAAACAGAAAACTAATAAAATAAAATTAATAACTATAAACAATATAAAACGCGATTTAAAAAATTTTTTTTATTTATTAATTTTATTATTTATTAATTTAATTTATTAATTTCTCTGAAATTAATAAATTAAAAAGAAATATAAAATAGTTGAACAATGTTGGAAGTAGTGTTGAATTTTTGAAATATATATATATATATATACGTATATATATACGTATATATATATATATATATTTATATATATATACATATATGCAATCACAGCATGTTCGGCGTTAGTTAACTTCCAACTTCCATTTTTCGATTTCTCTAACGGTTGATCGTAAATCATTTTCAAGTTTCTTTAGTTCAAAAAAAAAATTTTTGTTTATTTTATGCATTTAAGAACGGAAAAGCTTTTTTCGGTATTCCTATACCATCATCGGTGTTCAAAATGATATGTTGTGGTTGTGCCCAGATGCTCAAATATTTTTATACTGTGCCTATTTATTGGTTCCTTGTTTGATCAAAGTGAATACTGAGTTTTACAATCTTCAACGTCGTAATGAAAACACTTTTCGTGTTTTCATTATCAATAAATATAACAATTTTACTGATAGGAATACCGTTAAAGTTTTCTGTTCATAAAATAAACAAACATTTTGTTTTTCTACTGAATTGTTGGCAATAATCAATTTAAAGCATTTTTAATTTTCCTTACTAGAATTTTCTAGAAATTGTTCAATTTGTTGAAAATAAAATTATGCATGTTCATCATGAAAATTTAATTAATTAAGGAAAATTGGAAAAACAGAATTGAAAATTGATTAATGCCAACAATTCAGTTTAAAGTTTGTTGTAAAAAAAAAACAAATTTCAAATAATTGATTAATGCCAACAATTCGGTAGAATTCATACAATGCTGTACATATATATATATATATTTATATATATATATATATATATATGTATATTTGCGTTCTAACTTCAATTCTATCACACTCTAATAAAATTCACACATCTTCGATCAGCTGAGAACATTTGAGCGAATCGAGTGGAACATGACGTGTTAACATGCTGTAGGTGCAATGTTTCAAAATGTAAGCGTCGTAAAACCTCTTCTTCTCGTTATTCGTCGTGCGATATCGAATTTTTACACCTTTTTAGATACGCACAGTTTTTAAGAATCGATAAATAAGTCTTATAAACATTTACAAATATATACACACACATTAACTGTTTTTCAATTCACCCATTAAATTTTATCATATTTTTTGCCGTTTTTTTATTCAAGTGAAATTATAAATCAATGTGGAAAAATTACTAATGAGACAAATTTTTTTACAAACACAGCTTAGTAATTGAACATAATTTAAAACAATTGGTGTTTCCTCATTCTACACAATATAGGTCCACAAAAAACCATGAGTATATAAAAATTATTTTTATAAAAGTATAATAATTATACAACGAAAATAAATAACATTGACTGATTTTAAGTTTTATTAAAGTATTTTCTTTTCAGTAGTGATGAAATGATGAAATATTGATCCAAAAGTTGAAAAATTTTTGTCAGTACGCTTTAAAACGTAAATATACAGCAATTTTACTTAGAAAAACAATTACATTGACTGATTTTGAGTGTTTTTTAATGTATTTTCCATTTACTAGTGATAATAAGGTGAAATTATGATGCAAATATTTTTCTGGGAGTCGGAAGCTGGAGTCGAAGCTGGAGTCGGAGTCAGAAATTTTTACCCGGAGTCGGAATTTTTGAGGGGCCGGAGTTGTAGTCGTGAGTCGGATTTTATTGAGGGGCCGGAGTCAAATATTTTTCATCCGATTTCGACACTATGATAAAAAAAACGATATTTCCTAATAAATAAATAAATAAATAAATATATATATATATATATATATATATAGTATTGTATGAATTCTACCGAATTTCGGACATTAATCAATTTAAAGTTTGTCTTTTCAATTTTTCTTACCAGAATTTTTTGGAAATTGTTTAATTTATTGAAATTATAATTATTATTCAAATTCGTCTAACTTTAATGAAACTGTTGTTATCCAAATTCATCAGGCAGAAAGGCCTTATTTCGATTTTTTCCAAAATCATCTTCAGTGCACGTTTGGTTTATATAGTTTCTTTAAACAAAGCAAAGTTAGTTTTTTAGCAAAGTAAGTTAGTAAGTTACTTAGTTGGTGTAGTATTCTTCATTTTTGTTGTTGCCTTTTTTTGGTTCTTCATTGTTATTGAATTTAGTATTAAGACGTCGCCTTGGTAATGATGTAATCATTTATCGTTGGATGTTTATTTGGGGTTTATTTATATCCATAAGGACAGCTTCTTCAATTTTTAGATGTGTTGTGTTGGTGTTTTGATAAATTATTTTTGTGTGTTGTTGTCAAGAAATCGGCGAGTTATTGTAGTTGCATGAGTTGATTGAAAGTGAGATTTGATGG